TCTTGTTTGTCTTTCTCCAAGAGGGCAGTGGACCAAACAGAAAAGGTAGATACATGGCACTGGTTTGAAGGTTGGGGTGTGGCTGGACCAGGAAGATGGGTTGTTCACTAGGCAGGGATGAAGGAATGGGGACCAGGTGCCAGGCTCTTGGAAGAGATGCCAGGGCAGACAGCTATGTGGGCTCCTCACTCTGACACCCAAGCTATCATCAGGGCATCCCAAAAGTGGCACGTTTCTGAACGAAAAGCAGTGCATTCATGTTCATTGAAGAGAAATTTAAATATGTAATAAAGTAGAAATAAATAAAATAAGGAAATTATCTATGTTCACATAACCATGGTTAACATTTTGGTTTATTTTCTTTTAGTCTTTATGTGTGTGTGTGTGTGTGTGTGTGTGCGCATGCATGCATATCCACAGCATAGTGGCATTCTGTTCTCCTTTTAGTCCATCATGAGCATTTTCCCATATTATTAACTATTATTCAAAAGCATTTTAGTGGTGGCATGCTATTCCTTTCTATGTTGTTGTTAGGTGCCATAGTGTCGGTTCTGACTCAGAGCGACCCTATGTATAACAGAAGGAAACACTGCTAGGTCCTGTGCTATCCTCACAATCATTGTTATGTTTGAGCTCATTGTTGCAGCCACTGTCAATCCATCTCGTTGAGGGTCTTCCTCTTTTTTGCTGACCCTCTACTTTACCAAGCATGCTGTCCTTCTCCAGGGACTGGTCCCTCCTGAAAACATGTCCAAAGTATGTGAGATGAAGCCTTGCCATCCTTGATTCTAAAAAGTATTCTGGTTGTACTTCTTCCAAGACAGATTTGTTTGTTCTTCTGACAGTCCATGGTATATTCAATATTCTTTGCCAACACCATAACGGAAAGGCATCAATTCTTCTTCAGTCTTCCTTATTCACTGTCCAGCTTTCACATGCATATGAGGTGACTGAAAAACACCATTCCTTTCTATAGGTACATTTTAGTTTAAAATGTCCTTGTCTTAGGCTGGGTTCTCTAGAGAAGAAAAACCAGTAAAGTGTATAAATATATATATATAGATTTATAGCAAGGAAACAGCTCAAGCAATTGTAGAGGTTAGAATGTCTCAAGCACGTGGCTCAGGGTAGATGCCTCTTCCAACTCACGCAGCTGCAGAAGCTGGCGAGCCCAAGATCCGCAGTTTGGAGAGCAGGGCTCCTGCTCACAGGCTGTGAAGGTGGATGAATTCCAAGGTCAGCAGGCAAGACCACAAGGTTTCTCCTGATTCATGTAGCTGCAGGGGCTGGCAAACCCAAGACCGGCAGGTAGGAGAGCAGGGCTCCCGCTCACAGGCTGTGAAGATCAACGAATCCCAGGATTGGCAGAAAAGCTGATAGCTCAAACCCCAAGAACCGGAGGCCAGATGAACAGGAGGCAGCTGCAGAATCCAGAGCGAGCAAAAAGCCCGAATGTCTGCTTATATTCAGATGCAGGCTATACCCCCAAGGAAACTCCCTTTCCACTGATTGGCTACTCACAGCATATTCAATCACGGGAGTGATCACATACAAACACTGAGAATCAAGGCCCATTCAAGTTGACACAAAATCTTAACCATCACTGTCCTGGTACCTAACTATTTGTGCACATCTCTGATTATACCTTTAGGACAAATTTCCAGAGCAGCGTTACTGGTTGAAAAGGTTTGACCCTCTGAGACGATGTCCCCCTGGACAGCCTGTGGCAGCAGGGAACCTGAGCACCCACTTCCTGACACTCCATTGGCATCAGTGGTTACCACATTCCCAAAGATGTGTCCATTGAATAGCCAACCCCAAGAAGCCACTGCAGGAGTATCTCTACCTCCTGTTCCAAGTGAAGGGAGAGCCCCTGCAATACTTCTCTGCGTGTGGCAGGGAGCAGGGGCTGGGCAATCTTGGGGTTGGTGTGGTTCTAGTCATCTGTTCAGAAACAACAGCTAATGCTTCAGAGAGCAGATGGCTACAGGAGAGGCACAGGGAGAGAGGCTGCTCCCAGAGCTCCAGTTGGGTGCAATGCAGGGTATGTACTGGACACTGCAGGAGAGCACTTAGAAAGAAGAAGGGACAAGGAAGACACATCTGGTGGGCTTATAAAGCAAGCCTTGTTGTCCATTCATAGCTCTTCAGTGGCTCCAAGGGGCCCGTCAAGCTCCCGCCCAATTTACAGGCACCTGGGCCAGGCCACCATCCCCTCAACAATCCCGGCTCTGCCCACCTTGTTGCTCATTTGCTCCTACCCCCCACCTCCTGCCTGGCTCTCAAAGTGCAAGCCCCCATGTGTCTGCTCCCTCACTTGTTTCTCCCGATCCGATTGATGATCACACCCTGCACCCTGGTTCTCTGAGCTTTTACAGAACTCGCTTGTTGCTCATCACTCAATAGCCATGGTGGGGGACCATTTTAAAGGGTTTATGAAGGATCATTTATGACTGTGAACAGGTGCCTGTAGGACAAAATTCCTTGTAGTATGGTTTATCCTTCAATGCCCCAGAGTCACTGGCTCTGTGCTTTGTCTACAGTTGCTCTGTGACAAGTGATAATTGTTCAAGGTTGCAAAGAGGGACTGAGGCTCCAGGACCCCACCCAGCATCTCTCAGGGCCTCCCTCTTTCTCCTGCCTTCATCCACTGCCCTTCCCAAAGCAGAAAGCACCAACGGACTCAGGGAAACGGCATCAGGAAGAATCCCTGAGCGCCTGCCCCATCCTTGTCCTGCTGTGGCTGAGGAAGATGCCGAGAGGTGTTAGATTAGACAATTGCAGACACAGACCCAAAGGAAGTCAAGGAACAAACGGTCACAGAGGCTCCTTTGCTGACATGCTCAGTTCTGCCCAGATGTCAGGATGTGAACAGGCCACCCACAGTACCTATGAGAACCGGAGGCTCAGTGCAAACGTGTCCCATGGTGAGCCAGTGTGGGTCTGGGGATGAGCATGGGACATCCTGCTAGCCATGGCAGCAAGGACGAGGTATTATTTGTGAGGATTTCTATTACAGCTGGGCTAGTTTACCCTCTTGGGATTATTTCATTAGTGATATAAAACCCGGAAGCAGTCAGTGACGAGGGAAAAGAGATTTTTTATGGGAAAAGGTTTATTTACTATTTATAAATACATTGCAAGACTTACTTTCCAAAAATACTTTTTTCCCCCCAAAAAATTAATTAATAAAGAACAGCTAACAGGTAGGCAGGATGTCTTGAGATTCCTTTGTTGTCTGAACTCTGCATATGGTGCCGCACCGGTGGCTGTGCGGTGGTGCAGGGCCCTGTCCCCTCATGTGTCCACTCCCTGGACTCGTGGGATAAACGGTCACTCCCCAACGTGGAGAGATGGTGGCCTTCAAGCGAGTGTGGCTCCTGTGTAGGGACCCTCCCCATCATTGCCGCATCGGATCTACCATCTCTGACATCTCATCTAGGATCATCTAGTGTGCTGTTGTTGTTAGGTGCCATCAAGTCGGTTCTGACTCACAGCAATACTATAGGACAGAGTAGAACTGCCCCACAGAGTTTCCAAGGAGCAGCTGGTGGATTTGAACTGCCGACCTTTTGGTTATCTAGGATAGACCCCTCGTTATATTTGGACTATATTGTATAAAACGTTAAAAAAATTAAAACATATCTTCTCTACATATATGTGTGAATTATAAAGAAAAATAGAACTATTCCAAAGTCAACAAACACAGATGACTGTGTTCCCCAACAAGCCAGTCATCTTTCTCTTTGGAAATATATATATATATTTTACATCATGCCAAGGAGGACAAACAGTGAGAGATGAAGATAAATCTCCTTTGTCTTTAAACAGTTTATTCTCAGAAACAAACTTTGTCTTGAGTTGTTGAACTGGATAACAATTGTTTCTGCAGTCGTGAAGAGCCATGCTATTTATTACTTGCGACACCCCTAAAGAAGGAGGGCTAACTCTTTCCCGGCCCCTGTCCTCCACCTAGAGTAAAGGCAAGGAGTCAGCCTGCAATTGGGCGCCAGACACACCTGCCCGTATGCTCCCAGAGTTCCCTAAAACATTCTTGGCCTTTAAAAAACATAACAAGTAAGACCCCACCTTATTCTTTCCAACAGTTCTTTCCTAAGCAGTACCTGTCACCTGCAGAAATGAAAGGTCTTCTTGGTTGAGGGATCCAGGCCCTTGATCAAAGATGGTACCACTCAAGGTTTGAAGCCACAGGAGGCACATTGGGACATACAGATGACAAGAGCACAGAGTTTTTCTATTCTCGAGAAGGCCTGTGCTCACTCTACAGCACGAAGAGATGCCAACACATACTCTGACAACTGACAAGACCTCAGAAATGGAGTCCAGGGTGATGAATTCGTGAAGGAGCAGATGGATCTGGGAGGTGCTGAGTCCCGTGGCACCTTGCTGGGGCTCATGAGTGTTTCCACATGAAGACACAAAAAAAATCAAACTGCCCCTCACTCGCTATTTGACAGTGGAAAGGTGCTCTAGTTTACCATTGAAAAGAACCACAGACATTTCAAAAATCTCTTTCTAAACTTTGGGTTTTTTTTTTTTTTTTTTAAAAAGATCAATTCACTACAAAAAGAAATAGAAATCGAAGCTGTAGCCAGCTGCTGATAATGTCCTTCGCAGTCTTTTGTGCAAAATAAAGATGTGTTTGAGGTCCACATTAACTACAAGGAGAAGAAAAAGACATATATTGAAATAAGCCAAAAAAAAAAAAAAGTCAAAATCGTTCTGGGTTCATTGGGCGCAGCACCCAAGAAGCAGTGCAGAAGCACAGGTGGGCCAGGGTCAGGACTAACACCTGAGACAGAGCAAAGGACTCCCTACGGCACTCCACGTTCACTGTCAGAAAGTCACCCTAGAATCATTATTTTCTAACTTGCAAGGAAAAAACCTTACATAGAAAAATGAAAATTTCTTCTGCTTGTTAGATTTATCTTAAGAAGACGGAGACATGTGTTTGTTCTCTTTTACCAATAGCTCCCTTATTTGTTAAAAGAAAAAAATATCAATTGTAATAGCGCTCTTGAAAATGATGGTTTAAAATTTCATTTTCATATTAGATTTAAATAAAACTTTATTAAAATTATCTTATCCACAGGCTAACAGAATATTCATAATATACTTTACAGAAGGGAAAAAAAAAAGCCACGTCTTTAATTTAGAAACATGTTTCTTTAACGAGTCCTTTTGGATTAAAACATTTTACCTGCAAAGATAAGGGAACCAACACGCTTGCATGGAAAAGGCTTAACTTGTAAAATCTTTACATTGTGAGTGTATGAAGGTTTACGTGTTGCAAGTTCTTTAAGATAAAGTGTCTCTGAGATGGGATTGGTCACAGGCCTTCTTTTCCTCTGCCTCTCTCTGATGTGTCTGTCCTGTTTGCTCTGCTTCTCTCTGGGGTCTGTGCTGGGAGTCCTGATAGCAGGCCAGGGCAGGAGGGCCTGGCCATGCAGTCCTCAAGGCTATGGTCTCCCTCTCACCCTCAGTGTTACCAGGAGGAGCAGCCCAGTGGGGAAGGCGCAGCCCTTCAGCAGGGATAGAGGTTTCTGAGGCTTACGTCGTGGCCAGACTGAGTCCCAGCGGCCGTGCCAGGCGTCTACTTGCTCTCCATGTTGTAGCAGTGGACGTCACCTTTCCCCTTGGCATCGTAGCCTGGGAGCGGCTGCCCGTACTTGTCCACACACCAGCAGAAGCCTCGCTTTCTGCCTTTGGAAGGGCGGCACTGTGGAGAGAAGCACCGGAGACCGAGTCAGGACCTCAGGGGCTGCGCGTGTGGGTTCTGGACAGTGGGGGGGGGTGGTGTGCTCAGGGCAGAATGCTAAGTCAATTACTAGGACCCCAAAGCCCTCCCCCAATACATCTCTGCTATGTTAAAAGAGCAAAATAAAAAGGCTAAGGCTATTTAAAAGCCACCTACGCATAGGTGCCCATACGCGTGCGTACATGTGCGTCTGCATGGACGCATGTTTGTGTGTGTTTAAGTTCCCCAGAAGAGCAGGGGTCACCACAGTTTTGCTCCCTCTGAGCCCAGAGTGGAGAGTGAACCCCGCTCGCCCTCAGGTGTGTCTGTTGAAAAGGGAATATGTTTCTTCAATCCTGGCAAACCATGAGAGCCCCAGGGACTGGATCAATGCTGGATCCTACCTGTGTCTTTCAGAGCACAGACTGAGCCTCAGACAGGTGAGTTCTCAGCATGAGCTTATTTGGTAAGTGACTACTAGGAGACCAAGGTGCAATAAAGACGCAAAAGCGACTAATGGCAACCGAAGGAGACGTTAGCTCTTCGCGTGCGGCCACCAGTAGAAAGACCGTGGGCAGCGCTGCCGAACTAGGGGTTCTTATGGGTCAGTCTACAGACGCCATGGTCTGAAGTGTCAGGCTAGGACACAAACTGAAATACTTCCACAACTAATACATAATCTATACAGACATACTTACTATGTCTTAAAATAAGCACACCTTAAATTTCTTTGACTTTTTACAGTTTATTTACTGACAGGAAGGCATCAGTGTGAGAGACATCTTAGGGTACGCACACTGTCACGTGACCGTATGTCACACTGCTTGGAAATTCTTGACAACAGATATCACTCCAAATGTCACTGTCATCTATGATGTGGCAGTAACAAAAGCACCCTGTGTCCCCGGATGGACTGTAAAAGCCTCCCCCAGCAGCATCTCGCTTGCTCAGTGGGCAAGCAGCCGGGAGCTCAGGGGTGGTAGGCTTGCTGGATGCAGGGTTTACAATTCTGGCCAACTGAGCATCCCTGGGAGCAGCACGTCATGGCAGCCCGGGGGTCTGATGTCCTGAAACGGGCACTGTGTCACCAGTCACAAATATGGATGCTGCGGTGGGCTCCGGGTGAGAGTTGGGACCAGAGGAGCCTCTTGAGGTCAGAGCCCAGTTCCCCCTGTGCCTCCTTGGAGAG